GAAGGTATAGCAAAAAATTCCAACTTACAGAACACTCTTAAAATAAATAATTATACCTCATAGGTTAAGAGAGATAAATTGTTTATGCTTCTGTTGTGATTACAGCTGAAATAGTCTTTAGCACAGAATATATCCTTATCTTTTGACTGTATTATGTATGCAAGCTATATTTTCATTAAAAGGGTAAATAGAGACATAGAAGCATGAACAGACTGTTGAACCTCAAAGGGAAGCCAGGGGATTGTGGGTGGGAAGAGATCAATCAGTGAACTTTTATGCATATATGCATAACCCATGGGCTCAGAATGGAATGGTAGGGATCTGGGGGGGAAGGTACAGGGTCTGGGTTGGAAGAGATAAATGTGGGGGAAAAGGAGGACCTATGTAATACTTTCAACAATAAAGATTAAATAAATAAATAAATAAATAAATAAATAGGTAAATGAAGTTACATAATAATTATATCTATAGTAGAAAATAAGAAGGGTTTTTAACTAATATTAGTTTTGAAACTTTTTTAAAAAATTCCTTAATTTTTGTATCTCTTTTGTAAAGAACTAGCAATAGGTATTTTAGTGATTTTGTTAGTTTAAAATGTGGCCAACATTCAGAATGTCCCTTAAATGTAAATATAATGTAAGGATTTGTGGGAGAATTGGAAAATATTTTATTCTATATTTCAATTTTTCTACTGACATTAAATTGTTAAAATAATATAAAATTTTAGAATGATAATCAGTAATCATTCTTTTTTGCAGTAAGATACTTGAGCATTCAGGGCTGTGATTAATCTTACTTATAGTGAGATACTTGGCAGGTTATCATATTTGAAGAATTCAGTTCACTTTTAATCATCATGAAATGTTAATATTTTCTGTATAAATCGTGGAACCTGGTCCAAATTTGTGATAAATATTCTGTTTATACATTTGTCTTACTACTTAGATTGACATACCAATGATCTAGAAAAAATGGTAATTTTATTCCACAATATCCAGTTTAAACAAAATACAAAATAAGTAATGAGGATAGCATAATAACTGTGTTTTGCTGGAGAGTCAAAGGAGGTTTACTCATGATTTTGTGTCAATATTAACTTGGAGATTTTCTTTCTTTGTCAGATTAAAAGATATCAACTTTCATTCTTTAGGAATAAAGTTTCTCTACATACAAAGGTGGGCAAAGTTGTGAGTACATGAAACACAGAGTGTATTCTTGTAATAAATATATACATACACACACACACACACACACTCACACACACACACACACACACACATATATGGCTAAGTGACTGTCAGGCCGGCAGATAGGTATGACCCACACTGACACCCAGGGGGCAGATGCTCAACACAGGAACTGCTGAGCTGCAGTGACTTGGCAGCGGCAGTTCTCAGATGACACATCCAGATCCAGATTGGAGGCAGCCCAATTCCTGGTGCGTCACTCGAGAAACACCCTCTCACAATTCAGGACCCCTCGGGGGATATCAGAGAGCCAGTTTTGGCCTGATCCCCATGGGCCAGACAGAGAGACCCTACCTGCTGGAGGGACCCTGCTCATTGCATAGGCAACCTTGGAGCCGTGGCGTTGCCTCAGGTGCAGCAGGCTGGAGAGGGACCACGGGAGGTTGGCTCCAGGGCATGTCCAGCCTGTCTTGCCCAGTCTCGCCCCACAGGCCACCTTCTAATTAATTTCCTTTCAATGTGAATGAATTTGTGCACTGGGGCACTAGTTTATTAAATATTGTTTATGTATTGGTATTACAACTGTAAATCTACTTTTGCCCACCTCTGTATATATATATCATTTTTGGAAAATGAAAGCGAAGTGATTTTAAGATTTAGTTGGGCTACCACTCCTATTATTTAGGGTTGTTGTTTTTTATTTTATCTATCTAACCTCACCTGAGGATATGTTTATCGATTTTATTGTTTTTCTATTTTTTTAATTTTTGTTGAAATTATTACATAAGTTTTGCAAAATAAAGATTTAAATGTAGCCATGTCATAAGCTATGTAATCCTGTTTAGAGAGATGGGATATTGTCCCAGCAAGGTTAACTTATCAGAACTGCTTCAAGACAGTAGCTCTTGGGAAATAAATTTTTCAGTGTCCAGTTATCATCCTCCCTAAGGATTACATTGTACTTAAAATGAAAGTTACAAACCTATGGGCTAATCAATGTCAGATCATTCTTAAAATTAATATCATTTGGTGAAAAAATAAAGCTAATATTTTCATCTGTTTTTATCTCAAGTAGAGATTACTTTGAAATGTCTTAAGCTTTAATTTTAAAGTACAACTGATTATTACAATGCATTTGACTCTTCAAAGCTCAAAGGCTGAGCAGGTACCCAGAGGTACCCACACCATAAGCAGAAGGCAGAGAACAGATATTTATATATTTTCATGCGTTGCATATGACTTTCTATAAATAGAACAGGTTTTTCAATGACTTGTTTCAGTTCCTTATTACTCTGTTAACATTTTGCTTTATAATATTCATTGTCTACTTATATGTTACCAAGTAATTAATACATTTGTGAACTGCTTTTCTCAAGATCTCCTTGAACCATCCTTTAATCATTAGTAGTTATCATTTTCTGCCTCTCAAGTCAACATTTTCAAAGTAAGCATGTATCATTGCTTTATTCATATAATGTGATGTTAGGGATCAACTTTTTTTAAAAAAAAATCTAATTTACTGAATTTAAACAAAGCTAAACATAACTGGTGCTAAAAGTATGATTTAAACATTTTACCACAGATTTCAAACTGTGTATTTATCTCTTAGACTATTAGTCTATATTTGAACACACAATAAAAACGACATGTTTACTTGGTTTTCTAAGATGGGAATCAGTCTCTCTTATCAAAGATGGTGGGCCTTGTGTCAGAGACAGCGGGGTCCCTGCATGAGCACTGCTGCTATAAGGATAATTCCATTTACGGCAGCGGCAGGCTGAGAAGCACGAGAAGTTGTAGGAATATATCGATAAGAATGAGTCTGTATTGCAGAAGCCAGTGGCCACGTAGCCATCAGACGACACAGTCCTTCACAGCAATTCTATATAGGCAGCCATACACTGGCTGGTAAATACATCTTTCCTACAAAGCAGCATTAATCTCTGTACCCACAACTATTACCTGAGCAGCCACACTGCCTCACATCGTAGCGGTTCCTAAGCTCTCTGGCTCAGTAGCTTCTCCTGTCTGCCTAGCCCAGAACAGTAGCTGATCTCTGTAGCCTCACATAGTAACCAGCTCTGAGCTTCACTGGCCCAGCACACAGGCTGGTTAACATAGTAGTAGCTATCTCTGAGTTCAGATATAGCACTACCAGCTCTCAGTTCCCTTTCTCCAGCTTTATCTTCTTCACACCAGCTCTCAGCTCCCTTTCTCCAGCTTCATCTTCTTCACACACTCTCCCTGCTAGTTAGCCAGTAAGCTGTGTATTACTCCTTAGACAAAGAAGGCTAGTTGCCAATAGTGACATCAATCGCCTAGGTTATAGAAGGGCACAGGATGCCATGAGATGCTGTGGCCTTGGACAATCCATTGTATTGGCAACAGGCCTCTGTGCTTTAATTAGCCTTGACTATCAGGTGCCTCTGGCGTGGTTCCCACACCATGTTTAATCATTGAAATGGAAAATTTGACAGCAGGTTATCTGTATAAACTTGCAAGAGATGCAATCAATGGCTAAGTCAATCAAATGTATCATCTTTTCCATTATCCTTTAAGTCATTAAGGTCTCTTGGCAGAAGGTTTAATAAATCACAATTTTTTGTGTGTATATATATATGTGTATTCAGAACTTAGAAATAAATGTTAACACATGAAGATATTGAATAGTCTGGGAAATTGGCATAAGATAAGCTGTAAAAAGTAAACATAGATCTCATACAACACAGGTATGTTTTAGAAGCTTACACCTCACAGTCCTGTACCCTTAGCTCTTTCTCCTTTATGTGTAAAATTTAAAAATTAAAGTCAGGGTCTTGAAACTTAGCCTCTTATGATTAATTCTAACTTTACATATTTTATTGAAGGCTATAATTTTTCCCATCTAAACAGTCACACCTGGTACTTAAGAGATTAATAAAGGCTTAAATGAAATATATGTCTTTTATATGTTATAAAATGCAGAGCTAAATTTTAAAAAATATATATTTTATTGATTTTTCACAGAGAGGAAGAGAGAGGGATAGAGAGTCAGAAACATTGATGAGAATGAATCATCTATCAGCTGCCTCTTGCACATCCCCTACTAGGGATGTGCCCGCAACCAAGGTACATGCCCTCGACCAGAATCCAACCTGGGACCTTTTAGTCCACAGGCCGATGCTCAGTCCACTGAGCCAAACCAGTTTCGGCAGAGCTAAAATGTTTATATTACAAAGTTTATGTATTTCATACATAGCCATAAGAAATAGAAAACTAAACTTTCAGTTCACTTTTAAGACTGGCGAATATTCATAAAAAGCTATTGCTATAAATTAATGATTTAATAAGAAAGCCTCATAAAAAACAGATTATTATAATTAAAAGTTTTTAGGTGACTCTTAACTGAGGATGTCAAATGGGTTTGTGCATGCATGTAAGCATGTGCATATATGTGTGGTGTGTTCAGTATGCATACTTGTTTTCCCTATATATGTACATACAACAACCAGTTGATTAAGTTTAGAACATATTTTCACAATTAGATTTGTTTCACATAATCAGTGGAATTGAAAATATTTCAGAACAGATGAAGAAACAGGGTATTTTGTTACTAATATTTTTGTTCCCCATTCTGTGTGAGCAGAGTCATGTTCATCTTTAGATTAACAGTTGCTAGCATTGTATATTCTGCATATTTTAATTTTGCTAATGTGTTATTTCTAAGCTTCATTTAACTGAAGTGATAGCGAAAGCATTAAGATCTTAAAAACCATTCAGTTTCTAAAAGGCACTTCACATGTTTTAATAGGATTCCATTGTGTGTTTTTGCAGCAAGCTTAGTAGTGGAGGAGCGAACAAGACAGATGAAAATGAAAGTGCATCGATTTAAGCAGACAACAGGGTCTGGTTCTAGTCAAGAACTTGATCGCGAGCAATATTCCAAGGTAAAACTAGTATTACCCAACCAATAGCCTCCTTTTCATAAATGTACAGTGTATGTCATATAGGATTAGCAAGCACCGAGATATATGAGAGAAGTGATTTCAATGCTAGTCTTGTATCATAACCCCCTTTTCTATATTTCCATGAGATATAACTTTATTTACTTGGATTTAATGGGTGTGTGTTTTTTTTCTAAAAAGAAAATGTAAACACTTGATATTAAAGTCACACAACAGTGTGGTAATTAGGTAGGGGGCGGAGGAAGAAAAGAGTAAAGGGGGGAACTAGGTGTATATGGGGTAGGTTTAGTTGGCCTCGTATTTCTATGTTCATTCGAAAATCTTATTATCTGATTCATTCGAAAATCTTATTTTTAGAATACTACAAAAATGGCAGAAACCATTACAGGAAAACCCATGTTATAATTTGATATCAAGAAGCCCTTTTGGAAGTAATGACCTGTTAGAAATCGAAAGTTAAATAAAACTATACCAAATAAATATTGTTAGCTTGAAATGTGAACCTAGAAAAATCTACTTAAATTTCTTAAGATATAGTTAGCATACAATATTACATTACTTTCAGGTGTGCAACAAAGTAATTCAACTTTTAAATATCTAACAATGTGATCACCACAGTAAGTCTAGTAACCGTCTGACATCATACAGTTATCAGGATATTATTCCCCCCAAATATGTATATTACCCTTATTATCATTACAGCATTATTTACAATAGCCAATATGGAAGCACACCAGGTGTCCATTGATAGATGAAAAAGAAGATTAAATATTGCTTAATCATAAAAAAGAATGAAATTTTGTCACTAGCAACAACATGGATGAACCTAGAGGGTTTTGTGCTACTGAAATAAGTTGGACATGGAAGGCAGAATACCATATGGTTTCACTCATATGTGAAAAGAAAACAAATGAACAAACATAACAAAAACAAAGTCATAGATGTAGAGAATAAACCGATGGTTGCCAGGGAGAAAGGGATTGTTGGGAGGAAGGGTGAAAAATACCTACCGGTACTTATTTTTAAATAATGGAGGCTGTTCATTATATAGCCAGGTATTCAGAAACTAATACAAAAAAAGAAAAGAAAAAAAAAGAATTGTTTACCAAATATGATTGGTCACCAGACTTCCATAGAGTCCTGCATATCAGATGCAGTATCATTTTACATTTTAGGTTAGCTGCAAAAAGACTTCCAACTGAGACAATGCTATGGTCATCATGACTCAGTGTGGCCCGATTTGATAGGACTTTTAAACAACAAAGAAAAATTAGTAAAGCAAAACAAATTAGGAACAAAAATACCTAATTTGTTCCGTAGCGTTGTTGATTCCACGTATCTTCTCTGTGGTTTATTATCATTCACTCAGCTTACTCGTCTGTCTGCTCTATGGATATCATTATCATTTTTGTTTTCTTTTGCTACAAATACAGGAAGAATTAGGAGGCAGGGTGATTTAGGCTTTCTTCCTCCTCCATCAGATGCAGTTATTTGGAAAAGTTTCACCGATTTCTTAGCATTATGTCCAAAGATGAGGTCAAATACAACAGCTGGAGGAGATAGGGCCAGAATAGGAGGCAAAAAAGAATAGAGAATCAGGGTAAAATATTAAAAGCCTTTCTGAGTCATTCTGGATTAGGACTCTAATATTAATTAATTGATTTTAAAAAATCTACAAAGTGAAGGGTGCTACAAGTCCGAATGGTCAAATATAATACTTATACTTGTAATAAATCAAAAGTAGGATTATCTTGCTTGGGAAATTCTAACTTCTATGGCCTTAAAAATACTTCAGAATAATTTTCTTTTTTTCTCAATGTCTCCCCATTCACAATACAGACTAGGCAAAGGGCCTGAACTAGGTGTATATGGGGTAGGTTTAGTTGGCCTCCTATTTCTGTATAGTCAGTGTAATGGCACAGCCTGTGGTAAGCACCAGGAGGCCCCTGAATTATTTTTTATTGCAGCTCTTTTATTTTTTTTAAACAAATTTATGAAAACTGAGGTTCAGAAGAAAGGAGGCAATACTAAAATTCATGCAGCCTTTCTGCAGAGTGGTGAGCTCGGGAGCTCCTGATTGGAACTTAGCTACCACCTTTTTTGCTTTTGCACCACTGAAAAAGAGGCTAGTTTGATTCAGAGGCTCTTCTCCAGTTTTTCATTTGCATACAATTTAATAATTTTCCTGCCTCTTTTACACAGGCATTCTTTTTCTTCCCCATTTGAATATTTAAAAACACACATTACTTTTTATTTTATTTTTTTAAATATATATTTTATTGATTTTTTTTTACAGAAGGAAGAGGCATAGAGAGCTAGAAACATCATTGAGAGAGAAACATCGACCAGCTGCCTCCTGCACACCCACTACTGGGGATGTGCCTGCAACCAATGTACATGCCCTTGACCGGAATCGAACCTGGAACCTTTCAGTCCGCAGACCCATGCTCTATCCACTGAGCAAAACTGGTTTTGACCACACATTACTTTTTAATATATTAATGTTGCTCTTACTGACTTCATAAACTGATGCTACACTATTACATAAATGAATATAACTTAAATCAATAAATGTGAGATCAAAGATATGATATCTTTTAAAAAGTTGTAAATGATTAGTCTTTTATTTTATATGTCAAATAAAAGGTAAATACTCTTCACAATTCTAATATTCATATTGTAGCCTAATGCTTATAATAAATAATTTTTAGTTTCCAGTTACCTTAAATCTCTCACATGTAATTTTTTATTTTATATCCATTTACCCCAACCTCTTTATAATGTACTCTACAAAAAAATATGTTTATTTATTTATATAGATAAGCCCAGCTGTGTGCTCAGTGGTTGAGTATTGACCTATGAATCAGGAGGTCACAGTTCAATTCCCAGACAGGGCATATGCCCAAGTTGCGGGCTCCATGCTCAGTATGAGGTGGGAAGGAGGCAACCGATAAATGATTCTCTCTTATCATCGATGTTTCCATCTCTCCCTCTCCCTCTCTATTTCTCACCAAAATCAATAAAAATTTTAAAAAGAGCTAGCTTTGTTAGAAATTTAATAAACATTTAATTTTGAACTGTATCCCTTTATTCTTTTTTTAGCATCCTAAACTATTTGACATTTTGGATGAAGTAATACACCTTAGTTGAAACTCAGTCAAATTAGAAATTACTTCATCATTCTCAAAATATTTATAACTAAGCAACCAGTAGAACTCAATGTTTTCAGGGTCAAGCATTACCAGAAAACTATTCCTTCGATGTTACAAACCTGGCCCCTCCTTTAAAAGGCTGACTAACCCTAACCCTGTCATCTATCCTGCATAAGGAATTATCACTAACTTTGCTTTTGGAAAACACACACACACACACACACACACACACACACACACACACACACACTCACTACTTTGGTATCCCTGAAATGTGACCCCCATGCTGTTTTCATTGAGGTTATGCAGAGTTGTATGCCTCAGTGATACAGTGAAATTCATATTTGAGGGGTGAATTTGTATTTAGGAACTCACATTTTAAAAATAGTGCCTATGTAAACCAGTAACAGCAACTAAGATTAATGTGATGAGCATTGTAAGTAACTGCTGAACATTTATTATTATTCACTTACAAAAATAGCAGCCCTATAATTAGAGCCTCTCCTACATCAAGGACTTATTTGCCTGCTGTATGGTCAGCATACATTCTTCCTGAGGATGCTATGTTTCTCTAAATATATATTTTCATTAAAATATTTAATTTTTAAAAAGGAAATTTGATAAGTTATGCTTAATAAAAAGGCAAAACTATGATTTAAACTTTTAATAAGACTTGAAAATAAATAGAGTAGTAAAAAAGTAAAAAACAAACAAACAAAAAACAACAACTGTGACCTCATTTCAGAATGATAGATCTTTCCTTCCCAAGTATAGAAAATTTTAGTATGTTCTACAGTCCCTTATTTTTACCTTGTTGCTGGAATATCAAACATTATATACAAAAAGGTTAAGGCAGAGATGGCTTACAGAAAAGGAGACATTCCTTAGCTGGATAGATGGTGCCATGTACACTCATATATTCTTATGCCATCATCTGTACTATTTATTACTGACATTTGTCAGGTAAGGGGAGCATGCATTAGGGATGTCAACACCATGCTAGAAAATCTGCTGTTGCTGGGTGGATGTTTATGGTATTAGAGCCCACTTCTTGGACTCTGTCACATGCAAGCTATTATTTCAATATATTTGGGAACATTATAATAATTGCATAATAGTTTCAAAAACAAATAATATGAGTTTGATTTATACTCCAGTAACATTATTAAATCCAGGTTCTATGTGAGCATATTGAGGTTTTACCACATCTGCTCTGTAAATAAAAACCAGTTCTGACTGAGAGGAATCACGTCTGTCAGGAACACGCTATTATGATCACAGGATTTAGTGATAAAACTTAACACATTACTTTGCATGCATTATCTTATATCATATCACTTTCAGAACATACATGAACTTGTATAAATAGCTCAGTTCTAGACATAATATGTATATTAATTTTCTTTTGATTCATACATACAGCTTTCAAAAAATCACACAATTCTTCGGAAATATAACTTATGGATATTCTATAAATTTGGAATCGTTTTCATGTCCATTACTTACACATGAGAAATGAAAAATTAAAACTAACATTTAAATGTCTTAAGCTTGAACCACTTTCTTATGGTAAATCATGTTAAGTAAACATGATTCCTGTCTCTAGGATTTAAAAAAAATATTCTATTTTACTCCTTTTGTATATTCAAGACCAGGTTTTAGCATCAGTTTATGTTATATACTTTAGCAAGACAATTGTTAAAACAATTTTTTAGAAATCTAATGTTTTGATTATTTTAGATTCATTAAAAATTATCTAATATGGAGAATTAGAGGGTGGATGATTTTTTTCTACAGGCTTAACAAACATTTTACACCTTTACACATAAATCTAAATTTCAATAGCTTGATAAGAAACTTAAATACTCAATGTTTAGAAATGTGTTTATTGTACCTGTGTGTTCTTTTATATGTTTTTTTCTGATCTTCCAATACCTATCATAAGAGAATAACATATATTAGGTATTGTCAACTTATATATAATCATATAAACATGTAAGATTTATAATTAAAACATATTAAAATAATATGCAACATTATCCACTGTGTGATCAGTTACAATGAGACAGGGACATAGAGGAGTAGATTAACTGTTTTCATAGCTTTACATGTTTTAACCTTTTTCTTGATGCCTCTAAAATCTTAGGTAATGAATACCAAAGACAAATTTATACATTTAAATATAAACTAGAGTGCATGTTGAAATCTTAATAGGAATCCCTTTTTTAATTTTTGCAAGAGTTGATAGTTTACATCAGAAAATGCCTAAGTAAGCTGTAATAGAAAGTTTAAAAGCAAAGTCCACTTTTTGCTGCCATTGCTTTACTCCTCTTGGGCACAGCCCCTAAATTGTAATGTCAGTCATTTTTGTGAAGAGATACACTTTTTGAAGAAATTTGAAAGAGCACAATGTTATAGAAAAGGGAGATGTTTAGGTACATTGAATAGTTTTGGAAAGAATCAGGAAGTACAGACAGATGGAAGCAGTCTATACCATGGATAGAGTAGGAGGTGAATAAAATAGCCCTAGCTGGTTTGGCTCAGTGGATAGAGCGTCAGCCTGTGGACTGAAAAGTCCCAGGTTCGATTCCAGCCAAGGGCACATACCTGGGTTGTGGGCTCAATCCCCAGTAGGGGGCATGCAGGAGGCAACTGATCCATGATTCTCATCATTGATGTTTCTACCTCTTTCTCTCTCTCCCTTCCTCTCTGAAATTAATAAAGAAATACATTTTTAAAAGAAAATGAATAAAATAGGCAGTTATAAAAACTAATGCAAGAAAAAGAAACTGATATACTAGAAAAAACACAATACCATTTTGAGGTTTAAAGTATGTACAAACAATTCAATGAGTTTTCCACCCAAGCATTTCGTTTTGTGTTTAATTTATAATTCAGTCTTCAGGAACATTCCTTACCATTCAAGGGATGTAGGAGTTTTCCAATGGAAATCATATATTACGTTAATTTTTGGATTGCTTTAGATGCCACACCTACTTTTACAAAGGTGCACATTTATTTGGTTTTGGCTAAATAGTCATTATCCTCACCATGTATGTCTCTGTTTCTCACAAATTGATGATGGAGCTCACACTTTCTTGTTTTTAATCTTTAGTATAGCATACATAAAGATCAGTACAGAAGCTGTGATAACGTCTCTGCCAAATCATCAGATAGTGATGTCAGTGACGTGTCCGCCATTTCCAGAACCAGCAGTGCCTCGCGCCTCAGCAGCACAAGCTTTATGTCAGAGCAGTCTGAGCGCCCCAGGGGTAGAATCAGGTGAGTCGGCAATACTGTTTCTATAAACTGGGTCTTTGCCCGTGGTATAAAAATGCAACCAGCTTGCTGAATATTCTTACTGAAATACAGTCTGGGTCAAGTAACAGAAACTCTGACATTTCATTAAAGTAATGGACTGAAGTGGGTTGAACATTTATTAAAATTATTGAGTTGTATCACCAGTAGAAAGTTTGATACTATCTACTATAAGATACAGGTGATAAATATAGTCATCTTCTTAAAGATAGCTCAGTCACATTGGCAGGAATTTCCTTTTGGTTTAAGTCCACAGAGATCCTTTAGACCAGCATCAGAAAGTTTTTCCATAAAGAGACAGGTAGTCTAATATATCAGACTACATAGGACACTGTCTGTCACATCTTCTCAACAACATCATTATATTGTAGTATGAACACTAGGTTCCAAAATATTTATTTACAAAAATAAATAAATAAATAAATAAAACAGCAGAAAGCCAGCTGCATTTTCCCCAGGGATTGTAGTTTGCGGTTGGTTGCCTTTCAGAGCGGGATTGAGTGGATTTGATAACAAAATTCACACTCTAGTTTACATTATGAGCTGTAAGAAATTTACATTTTGTTTACATCACCAAGAGTGCTCTGTGTCCTTACAAAGCCAAGTACCCTGCTGGAAGGGAAAAGAGCCCGGGATTCCAGTGTCACCTTCGTTTAGTAAAGCATACTCATTATGGACAACCCATATTTTATATTTGTTCTTAACTAGTTTACAGAAAGACAAGTTTCACTGAAAGTATTTTGGGTTTAATGAAAAGCGCAAGAAATAGAAATGTTCAAAACAAAAGTAATTACATTCCTAATACTTTGAAAGTCTGATATTATCACATATTTTCATGATGTGCAATGAGATGGATCTTAAAACATTCCGTCCTCCTGAATTTCCTTGCACTAAGCTCATCTTTTTGAAAAAAGTAAGAGTAATTATCTACTATTAATTAACAAGATCAAACTCTGCTCATCTACATGAGCAATTTCAACTGATAAAAATATTAATAGAACATGGTTGATCTTTACCTCTGATGTTTTAAGTGTCTGGTCTTAACAGGATAAGGTCTCTTAAAAAAAATTAGAAGAGCTAAAGAATGTAACCATATTGAGTTGCTTAGGATCAAGGGTGAAAATTATTCTAATAGATTCTCTTTTTTTTATTGAATAGCTATGTTATTATATTTCAAAACCTATTCAGTTTAGCGAGAATATCAATAAATAGGTCTTAAACAGGACTTTCCCACTTTCATTCACTGAAAACAATTTACTAAAATAATCATAAAACAATACATCTTGAGGTAATTTTTGTTCACAATAGAGCCAAATACCTTGAGTCTTATGCTATAAAGTATTACTAGTTCATAGAATTCATATTACTAACCCATTGAAAGAATAATCTGTGGCACCATTGTCATTTTCTTTAAATTTCAAGAGAAAAGAATTCCTCAAATGTTTATCTTTGGGAAAAATTTTTGCTTATGTGATTTTTGAGGTAAAAACTATTACAGAAGAGAAAAACATTAGGCAGCTCAACAACCATTGACTATGATTTTATACAAGGGAGATCAGAAGAAACAGTGTTATCACATTGGAGTCAATGTTACTTTCTGGGGAAATGCCTGTTAACAAATCAACACTAATTACAATTATACCATATGATAAGATGCAAAAGTTAGAGGAGTATTTGCTTCCTTGATCCATATAACTTTTCTTATTTAGAGAAGTTGGTGGAGAGAGGAGTAGACCTAAAAAATCATACAAATAGTTTCTTAGTGAAAAATTCATTTCTGAGGGCATTTCAATGTTTTAATTTCCCGTTTTGTCCTGTGTACTGTAGAACACATATGAGCTGAGAATTGTTTTTATGTAAGTGGATTATGTAAGTTAGGCAATAAAGCTAATGGCTAAACAAGTTTCCATTTAATTTAACAAGATATTTTTCTTGTTACTTGTCAGTGATTTTCCATATGTTGTCCATATTTGATTTCCTAGAATACTTAGGATGAACATAGAAGAAGGAATGAAATATGAAAAGAGGTAGATCTTTCTCCTGAAATCAGAATTGAGTTATCTTTTCCCATACATTCTTCTCCTTAAAATGTCTTCATGGGCATACCCATGTGTACACACACACACACACACACACACACACACACACACACACACACACAAATACGTACAGGGTGATTTTGCATCTACCATCAATCTTGTGGATAAAAATCTGAGAGGAGGGCTTGGGATGAAAAGGAAAACAAAACAGAACAAAACAAAGTGACATCACTGAAAAAATGCTGTTTCACTGAGGTGCAATGAGGGTTGCAGGCCCTGTTCTCAGAGCTAACGTTGTGAGGAATGCCGGTTCTCAGCATGTCACTGCTTCTCAGTATTTCTTTTTGTCATTTCAGTTGAGTGTCTGAATTCTCTATGTTTACTTTTATATGTATTCATGGTTAAAAGATGAACAAGTCTGACCAATTATGATAGAATATATTTATATATCATAGTAAGTAGTAGGAAACTTTTGAGTTCCTATAATATGTATGGACTTCATTATTTGTCAAGACTACATTAAAGCAACAAATCTAAGCCACATACTCAAGGAGATTATAATCTATTTAAGAAGTTAAAATGTATTTTTAATTTATGGATCCCTGCATGTCTTTGCTCACATCATCCTGTGATACAAGAAAGGTTTTATTGTACATTGCTTTGGGTGAATTTTACTCTGGACATCAGTTAAGAAGATTTAGAGTACATTATAGAATTTACCAAGGACAATGTTCAATAACCTAAAAGTCAACCAAATGCACTGTATTCTCATAAAGGACTACATATGACATTATTTTATTTGTATTAAATAAAACCATAATATGTAGGTACTGAAAATACCATACATGGTTTTGATTTCCACTATACAAGTATGTTATGAACTGAGAAAGTGTCGAGATAAGCACATCTGAAATGAGTAGTGTACAATCCCCTGTATAACCTATATTATATTTTCCAAGCACTGCTTACTGCACCTTCTTATTAATGAATCATAGTACACATTATTGTTTTTAAGGTTTATCTTTGTTTATTCTTATACCAAAGTTATTCCATTCCTGAATACTTTTTTTCATAAGAACATTTATATAATATTCTTGAGTGCAGTTTCAGAAAATTTGTTTTAAATAATCATCATCCTTCTTCCTAAAACATATGAGACTATGAAGTTAGCTTCAAAAGGCTAGTTTGGGTACAAATAAATTTGAACACTTATAAGATGTGTGTAGATTGGGAAATATAAATATGTTTGGATGATCAATCTCTTAACATATATTTTTAAAGAATATTAGGCCCTCACCCCCCAGAGTTTTGCATCCATTGGTTATGCTTATATGCATGCACACAAGTCTTTGGGTTGATCTCTTATCTCCCCCACCTCTCCCTAACCTTCCCACTGTAATTTGACATTATGTTTGATGCTTTACTGTGGGAGTAGGGATGGGAGGGGGCAATGATAAGATATGTACATATATAATACCTTAATAAAAAAAATGAAAAAAATATTAGGGATTCTTGGGTCATATCCTAAATCTTTTGTGTTTGAAATGGTTATGCAACAGATATCTTATCCACGTAAGGATACCACTAACTACACCATAGTTTCTGTGTGAGTTGAAAAACGACACTCCTTCCTCTAGTTGTATTCTAAGTAGTTCATTCCAAAGAGTCCAAGCATATCTCATGTTTTCAAAGTTTATATAAACAAGGAAAGTATAATAGAAAAAAATACATCGTAATGTTTGTATTGAGGTATATAACCTTTTGTAGATATAATTAATTAAGTTATTCTAAAAAATAGTCATGGACTAAGAACTATTTAAAACTTAATTGCTAGAATGGTTCTTACAATATAAACTTAACATGCTACTTCAAAATAATAAGTACCAATAAAGATTTGAGGTTCTTTTTCAGATTTCTATTGCATATACCTTATAATTTTAATTTAGTTTTGGCTAAAGTATTCCTCAAAGGATATTTTCTCATCAAACTATAAAATATGTGCAGTAAATAAGGAGATATGCCATAATTTATAATAAAAACAAACATGTAATAGAATCCAGAAAGAATATGTTGAGTTTCTGAATTCTCTATGTTTACTTTAATATCTAAAGAAGATGTTTATCCAAGGACTAGCTGAATTTTCATGGTGTAGCTCTAAAAACATTTTTTTTCATCTTTATCATTCTTTGATTTATTTCTAGGCAAACTTATTTCAGATGTTTTATACAAAATCAAGTTTTAAAAGCAAGTTGTAAGCATAACCCTATAATTTCTCTCAGATGTGACACAATTTTAGTAGTTTGTCAAAACACAGTTTTCACCCTGGCTGCTTTGCTCAGTGGATAGAGCATTGACCTGGGTCCCAGGTTCAATTCCAGCCAAGGGCACATGCCTGGGTTGTAGGCTCAATCCTCAGTGGGGAACATGCAGGAGGCAGCCAATCAATGATTCTCGTCATTGATGTTTCTATCTTCCTCCCTCTCCCTTCCTCTCTGAAATCAATAAAAATATGTTTAAAAGAAAAACACAAAAAAACCTACAATTTTACCCCAGCATTCACATTTGTAATATATGTTCTCCAGGATCTACAGGTTGGCTTTCTATAGCTAGGTGGATATTAATAAACAAACTTGAAGAGCAAGTTTAGTGCCAATAGTTTGAGTTTTGTTATCATCCCCCTTTGAAAGAATATCTTCAAAAGCCATTATCTTTGTTTTCTACATTCTTAGTCTAAAATATATAAAAGCATTTTTAAAATATATCTATCATTAAGAGTATTACAGATGTTCCTTTTTTTTCCTCCGTTGCTCCCCTCCACTCTGTTCCCACCCCTGCCCAGCCTTCACTGCATTATTGTTTGTGTCCATGGTTATGCATATAAGCATATAAGTTATTTGATTAATCTCTTCTTACTTTCCCTCCCCC